CTATCTGTAGCTTTGTGATCTTTAGAAAGTCACTTAGATTCTCTTCATATCTCCGTTTCCCTCACTGTTTCCTAAGATGATGTTTACACTACTTGCTCTCCAGGGTTATGAATTTCAAATAGTATGATATGTGTGGAAGTAGTTTGGAGAGATTAGAGACCTTCCAGATGACAAGGAAAGTGAGGCTGAGAGAATGCCTGTCACCCAGAGAGACCTGGTGGTAGTGTGCATGAAGTAGGTGCTTCARCAATGGGCAATTAAGAGTCCCAACTCCTCCCATCACTTGGGCAAGTTAATAAACTTCTAAAAGTCTTTTTAGTTGTAAAATGCAAAAATTTTGAGGGATAAAAATAATAAACATGAAGTTTCCAATATGAAATAAGCCATTAAAAATGGCAGCTAGGGGCTGGGGATGTGGCTCAAGCGGTAGTGTGCTCACCTGGCATGCGTGCGGCCCGGGTTCGATCCTCAGCACCACATACCAACAAAGATGTTGTGTCCGCCGAGAACTAAAAAATAAATATTAAAAATTCTCTCTCTCTCTCTCCTCTCTCACTCTCTCTTAAAAAATGGCAGCTATTATTAGTTTTATTATCAATTATTCAATTATGATACAGAATCAGGAGGCTCAGAATATCAGGTCTTATTTTCTAAGASTAATTCACTTTTGAACTCTGGGAAAAGATCAGTATGGAATTGGCTATCTTCTAACACCAAATACCCTGCTCTTCTATACTAAATGGCAGAGGTTAATTCTGGAAGTTTATCCTCATAATAACACACATTGAAGAAATTTGGACAGGTGCATTTTTTCACTTTAGAAGACTCTGCCTCATTTTCTGTGAGGAAATTTAGTAGACTGTTAAGATTTGGAACTTGCTTTTTTTTTTTTTTTTTTTTTGAGATAGGTTCTCACTAAGTTGCTTAGGGCCTTGCTAAATTGCTAAGGCTGATCTTGAACTTGAGATCCTCCTGCCTTGTGTGCCACTGTGCCAGCTTAACCTTTGCATTCTAAGGCTTTCTCTAACAGTTATAATTATGGAGAAATAATTCTCAACACTTTTAGCAGAATAATCTCATTTAAAGGTTAAAAAAAACCTCAAGCAATCCCATATAATAATAGTTCTGCTTTAAGTAGCCTTTGATTGTGAAAATACCTGATAAAAATTCAATGAAGTGTCCTCTCTTTAAAAAAATATTTTTAAATAGATAGCACATGGAATTAATACATAATTCACAAGATAGAAAATGGAATACTGTGGAAGTATTCTTGCACCCAGACTTTTAATCACACACGGCCCTTACCCTAAATCAACTACTGTCTCAATTTCTGCTATATACTTTCAAAGGTAATTTATATACTACAAATCTTTACCCCCACATCTCCTTGGTAGTGGTGCTGAAGAACAAACCCAGGGCCTCATTCATACTAGGCAAATGCTCTGCTATTGAGCTGTATCTGCAATCCACATATTTATCTTTWTCTTTTTTTTTTTTTAACAAGACAACATGGTAGCATGTCTTACCACTCTTCACTCTTCTTCACCTTGTTTTTTTCACTTGAACATGTCTTGATATACTTTAAAATGGATGTGTTAAAAAAAAGAGTTTTTTTTTTCCTTTTTGCCATGGTAGCAGGGATTGAACCTAGGATTTTACACATGCTCAGCATGCACTCCACCACTAAGCCCTTTGAATATATATTTTTACTAATCAAGGAATCTATTTTTTAATTAATCAAGGAATCTATTTTTACTATTGGGAACAGGGTTTGTCACATGCTACAAAAATGCTCTACCTATAAGCCACATCCCCCAGTCCTTTTATTTTTTATTTTCAGAAAGGGTTTCATTAACTTGCTAAGGATCTTGCTAAACTGCTGAGGCTGGCCTCCAACTTGTGATCCTCTTGCCTCAGCCTTCAGAGTGATTGGAATTACAGAGGTGCACCACTACATGCAGCCCCATTTTTTTTTCTTGTGGAGTGAACCCAGGGTTTCACAACTGCTAGGTGAACACTTTACCACTGACTTATTTCTTCAGCCCCTCAGCCACATTTTTGAATATACAGAAGATCCTAGTGTACAATAACTGCATATTACTTAGAGATTCTCAACCTTGTGATTGGGAACTGTTGGTATAACTCAAATATCAATAATATTTTAATATAACTTAAATGTCAGTTAATTTGGCCCCTACTCTGTGCCAGGTATTGTTCTAAGCATGTTATGCATATTATCTCCTATAATCCACATCCTTTTCATTCTTCCAGTATCAGTTTAAACGTTATCTTCTCAAAGAAGCCTTCCTTTATCCAGGTTGACCTCCCTCTCCCTTTTCCATTATTCCCTATCATTTCGTCCTGTTTATTTCCTTCAGAATACTCATCACTATAAGCAATTAGTTACCTATTTGCCTAGTTGTTTACTGTTGCCTCCCCAACCAGAGCAGGAGCTTTGAGAGCAGGGACAGTGTAGTTTGTCTCACTACAGTAGACCCAGCAACAAGGATGGTTTCTTGGTTCTTGGCACAGAGATGCCATGGGTTGAGTATTTATTGAATAAGTATATAATGAGCAAAAATCAGCTTTGTAAGGCAGACCCTGTTATTTTCTCTATTTATCTGGTGAAGAAATAAGACCTAAAGAGTAAATAGACTCCCATAAATCCAAAAGTTAGTAAGTTATGAAATCGGTTGAAACCCAGCTATGCTTGACTCCAGAGCACAGACTCTCTGCTTCTTTTGCCTCCGAAACAGAAGATTGATACAATCTTAGCTGTGTGTGATCTTAAATCCCYTTTCTTCTCTAGCACTTTGTTTTTCATTGAAAAAACGAGAAGGTGGAGTTAGCCAGCCTCCTTATAGCAATATCTTATGATCTGATATCTGTGTTYTATAAAAAATGAAAGGGGTTCAGTGAAAAGACCATCAAGGTTGGCTTGATGCTCTGAGAATGCTAACCTTCAGTTATCTCACCCTCTTTTCACTAAAGTTTTGCTGACTCTTAATCTATTGCAGTACTGTTTTGGTTGTAGTAGGGATCCAAACACTCAGAGAACATAATTCTTGACATTAAGGTGCTTGGTTTGATGTGAGATTCAGACCTATTGACAGCTGTTTGAAGTACTGTATGGGTCAATAGCATAATAGTAATATGTATGAGGCATATACATATAACAGAGAGGAGAAAGGGATTAATTCCATCATGGCTATGCATGGTGATGGAAGTGATGGTGGATATTTAGGAAGGGGAATGAGGTATAATGCTGAGCTGGGTCTTGGGGAAACAATATTTTCCAGTTAGACAAGATGGAGGTGATACAAGACAAGGTGAACACAAGATACCACATGCAGAAGCACACCAAGAAACAGCACAGTATGCTGAGGATTTCAGCATAGGGGTAGGTTCTCMGGAGATGGAACTGGCTAAGTAAAAGGAGCTCCCCAAAGAGCCTTGCTGAAAGAAATAATTTTATTTCAGAACTATCACTTAGGCAGTGGTCGGATTMGAGCTGGGTGATGAGGCAAAAGGTGTGGATTTGCAGTTGTCCAGGTGACAGATGACAACTTGGTCTTAAGCAGAGTTGGAGGGGACGTATATAAATTTAAGATTTTTTTTTAAAAAATTGGTGATTGCTTGGTTGAGGGATAAAAGATGAGACTAACAGACTTGTTGGAATGGATTGGATGGTCATTAAGAATTATAGGGAATTTGGAGTCAGGTGGGAGAAATAATTCTATTGGTTTRGGATATATAGTTCATCTCTTAAGATAGATAGGAGAAAAGGTCTAGCACTCTTTTTCCAGAATAGCTGTCCTAGACTAAGTCAGACATCCTTAGGCCAGTTTCCTGGGAGGCCCATACAGGGATGAAATTCTCAAAGACCTCACTAGCATTCCTGAGCTCAACATCCTTCGAGAATAAAAGCTGGTTAGTAAACCTTTCCTGGACCTTCATTAATAGAAGAAAAGATTATGGAGATATATGTTTTTTTTTTTTTTTAAATAAGACACTGATTCCAGTGGAGCAAACTCTTCTGCCTCTTGTAAGCACCAGACTTTTATAAAGAAACAGTTTTTGTGGATCAGTCTCTGGTCCTGACAGAGACTCCCAAGGGACACCCATCTCCCTTGGGGAGCTGCTTAAAAAAATGGGGTTGTGTAGTGTGCAGCTTAATTCTTCCTGACTCCTGGAGAAAGCCCGGAGTTTTGGAAACTACCCTCTTCCAACAGCCACATCTGATTAAGCGTCCTTAATGTTGAGACAAGACTCCTGGSAGCCCCAACCCTTTACAAAATGATGGGGCTGGGATCCTTCCCCGCCTCAACTCGAATATCCAGCACTCACCAGGCGGTGGCAGGGCCAAGCACGTGGGCTCGTATAAGGGCCCACTTCCAGGGTCCTCCTAGGGAAGGGGACAGCTCAGGAGGTGAGAGGACGGCSCACCATCCTGACCCGTGGCAACCTCCCTGATTCTTACAGCCAATGGCCAAAGGCAGGGGAAATGCCCTGTGTCCTACTCCCATGTTCAAAAGATGCTGTCAGAAGCCACTATCTCTTTTCCATCCTCTCCTCACGCATTACCCCCACTGTCATGCCGATAAATCCCAAAATCATAGGGTGGCACGATTCCTCCCGTGCCCCTGCGGGTTGAAGGCGGGCACTAAAGCAGTGCAGTCCCAAGCTTTCCCTGCAGAAGCCGCGCTCTCCACTCGGTCCGGGGATAGAGGGGGCGCGAGAGAGCAAGTGGGCGGGCGTCCCATCCTCCGCATCCTCCTCCAAGTCCTGGCGCGCAGGGAGGGAGCGCTGCGCTGCGCCTGGCTGCGCATCGCGGCCCGCTTGCCGCCTGCCCCCTGCCCTAGCTGGGCCACCTCCCCGGGCTGCGGGTGGAGGGCTACGGGGCGCTAACATTACGCTGTTTCCGGTTTTCCAGCGGGCTCTGTTTCCCCTCCCAAGGCGGCGGCGGCTGAGCGGCGGAGCCCCCCAAATGGCCTGGCCAGATGCGGCAGGTTTGCTGCTCAGCGCTGCCGCCGCCGCCACTGGAGAAGGCTCGGTGCAGCATCTACAGCGACAACAGCAGCAGCAGCAGCAGCAGCAGCAGCAGCAGCAGCAGCAGCGAGAGGAGCAGCAGCAGCAGCGAGAGGAGCAGCAGCAGCAGCGAGAGCGACAGCAGCAGCAGCAGCCGCCGCCGCCGCCGCAGCAGCATCTCCCGTCCCGCTGCGCCCCCAGAGCCGCGGCCGCAGCAACAGCCGCAGCCCCGCAGCCCCGCAGCCCAGAGAGCCACCGCCCGCTCGCGAGTCGCAGCCGCCGGCGGCATGAGGCGCGACCCGGCCCCCGGCTTCTCCATGCTGCTCTTCGGTGTGTCGCTCGCCTGCTACTCGCCCAGCCTCAAGTCTGTGCAGGACCAGGCATACAAGGCACCCGTGGTGGTGGAGGGCAAGGTACAGGGACTGGCTCCGGCTGGCGGCTCCAGCTCAAACAGCACCCGCGAGCCGCCCGCCACGGGTCGGGTAGCGCTCGTGAAGGTGCTGGACAAGTGGCCGCTCCGGAGTGGGGGGCTGCAGCGCGAGCAGGTGATCAGCGTGGGCTCCTGTGCGCCTCTCGAAAGGAACCAGCGCTACATCTTTTTCCTGGAGCCCACGGAGCAGCCCTTAGTCTTTAAGACGGCCTTTGCCCCCCTTGACACCAACAGCAAAAACCTCAAGAAAGAGGTGGGCAAGATCCTGTGCACTGACTGCGGTGAGTTGCCCCCTCCCTCTGCTGGAGAAGGGGGGAGGGAAGAGGTGATGGAGAATGGGGGTGGGGCGGGGAGGTGCTGCAGGTACCCAGGCCTGGCAGCGTCCGGCCGCTGGAGGGGGTGGGGCCACCCCTGGGCAGGGCGCCTKGCATGTGTGGGTGGGGGGGTTGAGGTTGAGGAGAAGTAGGATCAGGCTCAAAGTGTGCCAGGGTCGGGGGGGCTGGGGGGAGGCTCCGGCCTGTGCCAGCTGGGATCTGCGGCTGATGTATGGCATGTGGAGCTGGAAAGCTGCCATCATAGCCCAGTAGCGGAAGGAGAAACACGAAAAGGTCCGGGCGGTGCTGGCCTGAGGCTCAGTGAGTCAGGAGTGACCCTCCGAGGCCTCGCCCGCTCTGCTCCCAAGGGCCTGCCTTGCCCAGGCTGGCAGGGTCTGCAGGATCGGCTGGGTAGACTCTCAGGCTGTAAAGGCCTCCGCTTACAAGTTCTCCTAGGGAATGATCCCCCGCCCCCTCCTTCCTCTCCTGGGGCTCGCTGCTCTGCCATCCACACCGCTGGCGCAGGCAGAGTTGGACTTTTTCTGCTACTGTTTTTCGTCCTCCATGTGGCTCCTTTTTTCCCCCTCTATGGTGATTGCCTGTCTTTGCCGAGCGGGTAGCACAGCAAACCTCCAGGACCGCTAGCAGACACCCCTTTTAGCGATTTTTGGAGGATCTTACTAGAGCTTTGGATGATGATAATGATGAAATAGAGTAACTTACTTCTGCTGAATGCTGTAAGTTCAGCTTTGACATCTTCCTGGCCGGATGTATCCACTGCATCTCTTATCTTCATGATGTTGGGTGCTGCACAAGAATGCAGGTGATTTGAAACAAATCACTGAATCTGGAGATCCCTGAAGCYGAGAATGGAAGTCAAAGAAATGTCAGTTTACGAGCTTTTTCTTTTTGTCCCTGAATCCAGTACTTACTTCTCAGTAAGATATTTAAACTGAATTGTCCCTTCATTGGAGTATTCTGTCAGCCTGTCCTGTGCTTATTCATATTGGGGTTTCATTTTGTTCTCAGGCTGAATCTGTGGCATTTGTTGACTCTGGACTGTATAACCACTGAATTTCCATAGATGACCTGGATTCTTAGAGAAGTTGGTATGTTTACCAGTTTACCAATTGAATCTGGTTAGTGTAGATAGCCTTGAGTAGCAAAATGTGTGTAACAGCTCATTGGAAGTTTTGCTGCTCTCTTCTTTCTAGATTAATGCCTTTGACTTTTGGAAGCTTCCCTCCCCCGCACCTTCAAGAGGCAAATTTTAGGAGTTTAGTTGTGGGAGTATATCTAGGCACTATGTTAAACTGCSATCACTTTAATGAGAAGAATCTTGGCAGTGTCTTAATAAGGAGAGAAAAAACTTCAGAGATAACAGCAGTTTATGGTGCTGACATTCTAAGGAATATTGTTGACTGTTTTTTAATGTTGGTTTTATGTTCCTAAATATTTTATGATGACAAGTTGAGACCAGTTAAGAATTTCTAATTTTTTATTCATTTAAGTATTTTGTCTGAGATCCCTTGGGAATCTGTGGAACTGTATTGTGCAGTAGGAAATAGACAGTAAAAACATTTACTGAACCTTGTTCAAGGACAGCTTCTGTTTGGGGTTTTGTTGAATTATTCCTGATAGGCAAAGTGCACATCTTCACATGATCTCTAGTCTGGGCCACTGAGGACCTGACCGTCATTGTCAGATATCCCCATAGAGTAGTAGGCTTCTCTGTCCCCTTGTTCTCCATCTCTTCCTTTCTCCTCCCAACACAATATGCCTTATCAGTTATACCTTGTTGGTTTTAGTGAACATTTAATAGTTTAACCACTGAATGCAGAGATCATGAAAGAGATAAGGGTCAGAAATATAGTCTGCTTTTAGTTCATGGCCATCTTATATTATTAAAATAGCATGTGTAGTATAGTTCTCAGAAAGATAAATTTAGGATTGCAATCACTGGTAAAGGGAAGGCCCTCACACATCATAAATTATAGAGGAGCAGGAATGTGTATGGCAGTAATGTTTTAGAATGCAAAAAATTTTGCTTTGAATTCATAGTGAATAGGGAGTCAGTTTGGGGAGTTTTACGTAAGCGGATTAGAAAGTAAAAGGCCTGTTTTGAGAGGAGACTTGTGGCATTGGTGATGACAAAAGAATATTAACTACATTTTCTTATTTTCTACCATGTGGTTAAAGAAAACAGGTACTGTAATAGTATAATTAAATAAGGAAACAAACTCATCCTATCTAACCACAACACCTTCCTTATGTTCAGCAGGAAATAGCTAACAAATTCATTTTCTGTTTTCTATTCTAAAGAAAGCCCTCTGGGCCACAGGGTCACTGGGAACATTTTCTCCTTGGAGCAGATTTGCCCGTTGCAAAATAGGGAAACTGGCACTTGGAAATGTGGCTGTTATATTGAGCAACTGAGGTTGAATTGTTACTTTGTTTAGCCAGTTCCTGCTCTGAGTGTGTCTGGATTCCAAGAGGTATATGTGCTTAAAAGTTGGCAATGCCTCAGTAGCATCAATGCGGGGTCACACTTCACATATTTTAAACGGTCCTCCTATATGGCTGATTTCAACTGTGAAATGTTGACTTTAAGTCTGTGAACTAAGGTGGACAACGGTAGGTGGGGGTCTTGCTGCATTGACAATATATTGTCAAATGTTAAATATCATCACTATGCAGAGGGGCATTTTTACAGCTCTCATGTGTATCATTTATCCAAAAATACTACCTCTGGTGGTAAAGAGTTGAATAAAATCTTTGCACTTCTAGAGGATTGCATACATGGAGGTGTTTTCTGTGCATTCCGTGAAAAGGAGAAGAAATGGAGTTAGATGGCCTTGCAGGGATTAGCAACTCTTTGACATGCTATAAAAGAATCCAGTTCTGCAAATAGTCTTGCATTTTCAAAGATGGTTGCATATATTTTGGTATAATTACACCCCATCTTGTTGCTTTCTTATAAACATGTTTTTAAGCTCTTTCCTTATTGAGTAAATGCAATAGTTAGCAATTAAAAAAAGAACATTTCTTCCACAGGGACTTTCTCATTTGCTAYTTTCCAGAGTATAGTGTATTTTGTTGTTAAACATGAACAAGGTGTATTTCTTGGAGACTTTACATTCTTTAGAATAGTTTTATTTGTATTACTATTGTTGTTATTATTTTGCTGTACTATGGATTGAATTCAGGACTTTGTACATGCTAGGCAAGCATTCCACCACTGACCTACAATCCCCAGCCCTTTAAGAGAGTTTTAAATTAATTTGGCACCCAGAATTATATATTAGAGGAAGGTGGTTCACAAAATTCAGTATAGCAAAAGCGACTGCATATTTTTAAAATGCCATTTATTTAAAGAATCTTTTCTTCCCCAGCCAGCTGGAAACCCAGCTGTGCTTCAGCTTGAAGATGGGAAAATGAAACTAGATTAGAAACTGACCAGTCCTAGTGGTGAGGACAAGACTTGGTTATAGATTGTGGGATTGAATGGTCATCCTAATGTCATCATTTCTTGTCATAGTTGCTTTCCTCTGCAGAATTCGATTTTGGGGGCAGGAACAATATCTTATCTTTAAGGGCTTCTCTGTCCTGACTCCCCTGCCCAACCCTCCGTGTTTGGTACTGTGTCTTGCTTATAGGACTTTYCCTGAGTTCTGTTTGAATGAATGAAGTCAAGAGACATTCAAAAAGAAAGCCTCTAGATTCAAGCTAAAACAATCTTAACTCCCTGATCTCTGACACCAAGCCCTGGGCTGAAAAGCTGAGTWTGAAGATAGTCTTTACCTGTCACTATGGGAACCTCCCCCAACCCCCAAGGAGTTCTTATCAACTAGAATAACCACAATATGCTTAATCATTGTGCTGGTTAGAGTTAATGGGATTTGAGCAGTAAGAATAAAGGTCTTGTTAGAGAAGATCTACTTAATTGGGGGACAGAGAGACAGATTACCATTCCTCTTCCCCCAAATTTAAACAAAAATAAAACAACCATTAGTCTGAAGAACCAACCTAATTGAGATCTAGGGAGGATATTGTATTGACAGTCTAGGGGACTAACTTTCTTGTGGCCTCCAATCAAAGTAAACGTGCTTCCTCCTCACCTCTGTTATCTAAATATTTTAATTTTATTTCCTAATAACTATAWGCTTATTTATTTTTTTAGTTGTAGATGGAAACGATACCTTTATTTTATTTACTTATTTTCATGGGGTGCTTAAGGATCCAACCCAGTGCCTCACCTGGGCAGGAAAGCACTCTACCACTGAGCTACAACCCCAGCCCCCATTTGATCTTTTTAATAAAAATGTATTTAAATTTTTCGTTATATGGCTCAAAATTCAGAAAGTAAATAAGAATATATGATGAGGGCCTGGGGTTATGGCTCAKCGGTAGAGCACTTTCCTCGCACGTGTGAGGCACTGGGTTTGATCCTCAGCACCACATAAAAATTAAAAAAAAAAAAGATATTGTGTCCATTTACAACTAAAACAAAATTTTAAAGAAAAAAAAGAACACATAGAGAAAAGGCTCCCTCATCCCTTTCCTTAGCTACCCAGCTCTAGGGCAATTATAAGATAACATTTTTGAAATGTGTATTTATCTAAAATGTGTATTTTTCTAAAAACATTTTTCAAAGTAGTCTTTCATTTTTCTTTTAACAGATGATAATGTTAATTTTGCCATTAAGCCAATTTTATGGTAAATTCTTCCCAGGTTTATATATATGTGTATGTGTGTATGTGTATATTATATGTATATGTATATGTATGTGTATGTGTATATATATATATATCTCCTAACCCAAATTTTCAACTATTTGGCTCCAATTATAGCTGACTCCTTTCCACCTTGAGTTATCTAGTCAAAGGATGCTCTTTTCCCCTTAATTAGTACTCTACTTCACAAGTATAATCTTAGGATCAGGAATGAAAATACCAACTTACTTTTCA